GCCAGCCATTGGACGGTAGCTCATGAAAGCTGTTGCCCGCTGCTGGCCATCCCCACTGCAGCCTACGCCATTGCCGGCGACTCATGGCAGCTCAGCTTCAGGTCAAGCTGTTGTTCACTGTCTTAGCTGTGGAGGGTGCAGCGTCACTGGCCCTCATGTGGGATCCGAACCAGGGTCCTACTGCTCAGAGCTGGCGTCCCAAGCCAACTCCTAACCAACGTGCCACTCGGCTGGCCCCTAATACTTTCTTAATGAAGGCCACAATATGTGGCTGTTACAGCTCTGTAGTTAGATATTAAAATCCTCATTGGTGTTTTTGGTAGATGGGTTTTATTGAATCTAGTGTTGCAGACCTATTTAAAGTTTTGGTTTTTGTTTTTTGTTTTTCCCACAGTGGCCAAGCCTTCTTTCAGTAAAGTATAAAAAAGTAACCCAGTATTAAAACTTACTTGCTCCATGCCCTAAGTTTAGACCAAGTCATTTTTTAAAAACTTCTGCCATCCCTGTAACAACCCCACACCTGCACACACATTTTTTTAACCTTGTGAGAGTATAACATATTCTACGAAAAGTACACGGATGAAGTGCACAGATGTGGCTGACTTCCATGTCAAGACATCAGATTTTAACTAGCACGCCGGAAGCTCCCCTCCAGGTGACTGCCCCCTCCCAAAAACACCACTCCCTGACTTTTAAACTATATGTTAGCTTTGCCCATCTTTGAATTTTATGAAAGTGTCATCATATGGTATATATGCTTTGGCCTCTTTTAACATTATGAGGTTCATCCAGGTGGTTGCAGATTGCAAGAGTTCATTGTGTTAACTGTGTGGCATGAAACACTCCACATTTTTATTGAAAGCACTGTTTCCTGACTTGTGCCTGTGATTTTAAGATAATTGTATATTTGAACATCATTATACCTTTTAATCGCCTTCGTGTACCCATATATTATCTTCTTGACAAAAAATACTAAGGTCATAATTTAAAGATTTTAACACTGTGCTTATGTAATCCATTAAATTCCTTAATGAAATACTCATCCAGGTGTTGGGAGGAAACTGATGTTATGCCAGTGCTGCCCCTTTTCTTGCCATCCCCGGTTTGACTTGTGTTCCGCCCACGCATAATCATGTTTGAGGAGCCCAGAAGTAGAGGCAGGAACGCGGGGTGGGGCAGCAGGTTTGTAGAACTCAGGCCAAATGATACAGTGCAATGGCAGGACTTTCCAGGTTAGGAAAATTGAAAGTATATTGTTTCTCCACCCCTGAAATATCAGTAATCTCTAGCCCATAATCTCTGTTTCTTATATGTTTCTGTAAGAAAGACAAGGATTCCCATCATCCCAAAATGGTCTTATATTTAGATATCTCTACAGCTCCTTTGGGCCCACCGTGAACTCTGGCTTTTCTGTGGGAGAAGTTAGGTGTTACTTTGGCAGCGCCGTCTTCCTTTGTCGCTGGGCTGTCATTGGGTCTGTTCTTCTCATTTTACCCGCCTGGAAGCCTTCAAAGGCCACTATTTAAATTTGCAGTTTTTGTGATGTACACAGATTAGAAGATGGCTAGAAGCAATTTTCATTAAAGGAGATCAATATGCTTATTTATTCAGGTAAAAACAGTTTGCTGAAGCCAAGGCTAATATTTATACAATATGGATGAGATAAAAATCTTTAGTCCTTTATCACTTTGCTTTTTTAAAAATTTAATTCATTGTGAAATCTCCTTAATAGACTCCTTAAAGTATCTATGTAATAGATGATAAAAAAAATCTCCAGTGGTTTCTCTCTGCTTTTTTGAAAATATAATTCTCATTGTAAGACCTGCTTAAGGAGAATCTGAAATTCAAGAAGCAATTATTCCAAATAGCAAGATTTTAACACTTTGTAATTTTTTTAAGTATGCACCTTTGAGTAATTTTTCATTGCCTAAGTTCTTAAGTAATTTTTAACTAGTTACAGAATATACAAAATAAAATAACTCTTTAAAAGAGAGCCTCTAAGAACTTGAGAAATTGCTGGGGTTTTGTTTGTTTCTTTGTTTTTACACTGAGGTTCTTTTAAGTAACCTTTCTCCCACACTCAGTGTTCTCTTTCCTTATCCCCAGACGACTGATGCAGTTCAACTGACATTTCCCAGGGGAGCTCCATTCAGAGCCGTTCAGGGCAAGAAATCCCTGGTCCTGGGAGGTTCTTAGACAAGAGTTACTAATGTATTTTACAACAGCAGTCAGTAAATACAGAGGGTGTCAAAAAAATGTATACATATTTTAAGAAAGGAACAATACTATTAAAATTGTAACCCTCCATATATACCGATAACAAAAGATGAATACAAGTCACCTTTGACTTCTGCAATTAAAAGAGGTGCTCAAAGTGGTTACCATCAGCGTCCAGACACTCCTGATTACGGTGGACTACTGCTTGAGCGACGTTGACCAAAGTGTCCGCATGTATACATTTTTGGGGCACCCCCAGTATTTGTTGGTTGTATTACATGTGCCAGCACCACAGTAGATACTGGTGATAAAATAGTGATCAAATATAGCCCCAGCCCTTGGTTTATCAATTTATTGACCTCATACCACTCACTGAAATTTCTGAAGAGTAACTACAACCCACAGAAGAGTACCTACACTCCCTCAGAATAGCATTCCTGAGACAAAGAAATGATGTATTTTTGAGCACTTATAGAATTATTCTATATTCAGTAGATAACAGGTAATTAAAGACAATGTATGAAAAACTTCTCTATGATTTTAGGGTTTGGGAGTGATGTCTTTCCCAAGAAAAGTGTGGGTGGGTAGTGCCTATATTGAGTGTCTGTGAGCAGGATTCACTGACTAGCTTAGTTACCTGCATTAGTTTGTTATATTACTGTAAATTCACTCTAAGTAAAGTCATGTCAGGCTTCTGGTGTTATTGAAAACCCAGCATGCAAAAATACAACCTATTTAGTATTTTTGTTCATGAAGAAATTTTAATCAAGGCATATAAGAAAACGCTTTAACAGTTAAAGAAAATGAGTTATAAAAGTTTTTATTTTGCCCGATATAAACCACATGATAATTGTAATGATAACGTAAAAGTACGTTTTCCCCATTAAAGGAATTAAAGCTCTTTGATTTTAGGAACTGGAGCGAGCATGGAGAGACTATGATAAGTTAGAATACGATGTAACTGTTACCAGGAACCAGATGCAAGAGCAGTTGGATCGCCTCGGTGAAGTTCAGGTACTAAGTGTGATGTTTTTTACATTGTTTTAAATGGTTTTGACTGGTACTGTACGGTACACCTTGTTAGATTTGTGTATGCCCTTCACAGTGTTTATATTATTAGCTATCTAAGACCTAGGTTTGAATACTTTCAATGATAAAATCTAACTATCTCACAAAGTAGCGCATCTCTCATTGTTTAAAAAGTTCTTTATTCGGTTGGGTTCATGGCATGAGCCCTATAAAATGGTCTGTGCTCCTAGCTAATTATATGTCAGTTGGTATTGAGGTATTCAATTATATAGATTTATCAAATAATGGATATTTTATATTTGTACAAAATTTATTCTGATTCTATACTAAATGCCTCTCCTTTATCAAACTGTAGTTATCCATTATCTTGACTGGTATATTATTAGACACGGGGAAGATGCAGCTCCATTTGGAATAAAAGATCCAGTTTTGTAAACACGCAGATCTGGGATCAAGTTCCGTTGTTAGTTTTCTTCTCTGTAAAATGGAAACAATAATACCTGTCTTAAAATGTTGCTCTGAAACGTGGAGATATGCTTAAGAAATTTTAAGGGCCAGCCGAGTGGCTCAGTTGGTTAAGAGCTCGCTCAAGAGTGTGAGCTCTGAGCAACAGGGTCGCCGGTTCGATTCCTGGCCCAAGCTGAGCTGCTGCTGAGCTGCCAACAGGTGGCAGGATGGCTCAGCTTTAAAAAAAAAAAGAAGAAGAAATTTTAAAAAGTCACTTCATGCTTGTGGCCCTATGTAAATTGGATCATCTGCATTGGAAACCCAGTGGGATTAATAGATAAATCAATATAACAAATAAAAGGCTAGTACGGTTGACTCATAAAAAGTAACTGACTTCTGTCTGTTCTGTCCAGTATAGTAGCCAATAAACATATGTAGCTGTTGGACACTTGAAATGTTGTTAGTGTAACTGAGAAACTGGATTTTTAATTGTATTCCATTTTAATTGTCTAAATTTAAGTATCCACATGTGCTGGTGACTGAAGTTACACTAATAAGATACTAAATACAACAGAAAAAATGTATAATTATCTAAGATAAACCAGGG